GGCGATGATGTAGCCATAGGATAACAGGGTTAGCACGAAGTTGATGCATCCGTAGAAGGCATCTGCCACAAGTGTCATAATGCTATTAATGTATGTGGAGCTACAGGAAAGCAAGAGGAGTGGGGGAATCTCACAGAAGAAGTGGGTGACGACCTTGGGTCCACAGAATGACAGCCGTGTCATCAGACCAGTGTGGACAGATGCATTCAAAGCACAGATGAACCACACACTCATGGCCAGTACCCCACATAGCTGTGGGCTCATCCTAGAGCTGTAATGCAGAGGAAAGCAGATGGCCACATAACGATCATAGGCCATGACTGTGAGCAGCAGCAGCTCTGAAGACAAGGACCACAGAAGGAAGAAGAGCTGGGCCATGCACCCCTTGAAGGAGATGGTGTTTTCCTCAGAGATTAGGCCAGCCAGGGCCTTGGGAAGAACAGAGGTGGTGCAGATAATATCCATGGTGGCCAGGTTGCACAGGAAAAAGTACATGGGACTGTGGAGCCCGGTGCTGGAGGTGACCAAAACAATGATCACAATGTTGCCCATTAGAGCCATCATATAGAGGGACAGGAAGCAGCCTGTCAGGAGAAGTCTTAGACTAGTGTGCTCTGAGAATCCTTCTAGCACAAACTCTGTTACTTCTGTCTGATTGAGATTCAACGCCATCATGGAGACTATCTGTTTCACAACTGTGTCTGTTGGCTTCTGAGAAAGTATCACGGTTTATCACTGCAAAGTCTTGTTTCCAACCTTGAGCACCTCAAATTTCCCTGCTGTCAGAAAGGGAAAGAGTTAATGTATTTCCTTTATGGAAGCCTTTTGTATTTGTTGTCTGTAGTACACCATTAGAAGCCACATATATTTTATTTACTTTTCTTTCCCACTTAGAAACCCTCATCCCACTGCTTTGAGTCAAGAGTGACAACTGCTCCTCCCTCATCTTCTTGAGCATGTGGCAAGTATCTTCACTCAGCACCTGCCTGTGCTTTACTTCCCTGTCCCATGTGTTCTAGTGACAGTGCTTGGTGACACAGCTGTACCGTTTACCTCCATAGCAGGTGTTCTCCACATGACAGTTTTGGATGGACTCACTGAGATCACTTTTGTACATTCTTCCACACCCAGCCTCTTAGGTTCTTAGACACTTGGTCCTTTGTGATATTTTGAGTGGTTGCTCTATAACACATCTCAATGTGATAATGTCATTTCCCATGGCCACATAGTGATGCATTTCCTGAAATTTCTCACTGTGATATGTGGCTTCTACTGTAATGGAAACTATCCTGACTCTATCTTACTTCAAATCTATCACCCTGGAAAACATTTCTCAAATCCTAGACCTATAAACCCATCATACTTTTGTGGCCTTTTTGGCTCAATGAATCACAGTAACTTCAAAGTCAACATTCACAGCTGAAGTCATTGCCGCTGTTTGCAGATGTACTGTTTACTCTCAATGTCCTTATACAGAAGTTCACCCTTAGCTACCCAATGTTTCATAAAGGTTTTTCTTTGGGGTACAGATCCATCTCTCTGACTCATTGTCTTACCTGTAGTCTATTAACTTGGTAGATCCTGAGTAGAGTCCTGGTCTGTGAGCCAAGAATTGTGCTCTACATCTTCTTACCTCTCTCCTCCAAATGGTCTTCTAAGTCTATAACTATAGCTTCCCCAACATTATAACTCATGTTCTCAATGTTTTCAGCTGCTTCATATTTTCTGAGTTCTTGTCATTTTTAACTTTTCCAGTTTCCTCCTCTATTACTCAAGGAGTACAGTGTGTACACCTTAAAACAATTCGTCCTTGGCCCCTAGGCAAATTCACTATATTTTCTCCTAATTCTTAGCAAAATATACTCTGTAGCTTGACATAGAAGGCTCATCTGACACCTCCATTAATCGTTTCCATAGGTTCCCTCATAAGTTCATATATGAGCACACTCTATCCTATTTATAAACCTATTTGTGGCAATTATTTTCAGTGTTACTTCATTTTTGATCACATTTTATCTTATATATCTTTTCCATAATAATGTTCACAACTTATTTCTTACCAAATTAATAGTAAGTGTTGAATTTTAAACATCATGTGTGCCTCCATTTTAAACTGGAGATACTCAAATGTAGCATCTCTCCTCTGCAACCATGTGGACATTTTTATGTCTGACCACTTCTCTTCCTTTCTCTCCTATCCTATTTTACTAGAAAACATCAATGAATAGATTGGTATTTCAAGTGGTTCTATAGAAACAGAATTACAAATGTGAATTTTCTAGTATGTTTGACAATTTCTTGATCTGTCTAGCTAATTAAACTAAACCTGAAATTGTGAAATTCTTTCATGATAGTATCTATAATGCATGTGTAATATTAACTTCCATCCCTAGGGTGTACTTCATTCAGAGTACAGAAAGTGTTAATAAAGATGGACATTAGGCTGAGCTAGAAGGAAATATTTAATATTAATTGAAACCTGTGGAAAACATGTGTTATCTGGTAGATGTCTCCTAACACCAGTAGCACATCTGTAAAAATCTAATTGCATAAAAAATAACTATCTGATTTCTAAATGACACACTGAAGAAATAATGACAGAGAACTGAACTGTAATATATAGGGTGATTTGACTAAACGGACACATGTCCACATACCTGGAGACACCCATTTATTACAAAGAAGTATAAACTACACACTACAGAAAAGACAGGATGATTAAACATAGACATTTCTTATCTCTCAAGCTGTATGAAACTCAACTCCAAATGAGTAAAGGACTAGTGTAAGACCCAACACCCTGAAAATGACAGAAATGGGGAATGTGCTTCAACTCATTGTCCCAGAAAGACCTTTCTGAACAGGACCATGGTGGCACAGGCACTGAGCTCAATAACTGAGAAATGTGCTCACATGAAACAATATATAAAGTTTCTGTACATGAAACAGCATCATTTGAGTGAAAAGGCAGCCTACAGAATGGCAAAAAGTCTTTAACAACTATACGACTGAGACCATTAATATATAGAATATCCAAATAATTAATTAAACAACAAGAAAAAACAACTCAACCAAAAATGGTGAATGGAATTAAACAGAATTTTAAGAAGATGAAACAAAAATAGCTAAGAACTGTTTTTGTTTTTTTTTTTTAATGCTCAACATTCTAAGACATCGAGAAACAGAAATTTAAAATCTTTTGAGATTTCATCTTACTCCAATCAGAATGGGCAAGATAAAAGAATGACAGTGGGTCCTGACTTGTTGTGCGGAAAGGAATAATTATTCACTGCTTGTGCAAACTGGTATAATTACTATAGAAATCAGTATGAAGTTTCCTCAAAAAGCTGGAAATAAGCACACTTTATACACTTCAATTATACCATTCTTAGACATATACAAAAGGACTGTATGTCTTAATAAACTGAAACTTGCTTGTCTGTGTGCACTGCTTCTATAGTCACAATAGCCAGTAAATGGAAACAACATAAATGTCTATCACATGGACAATGGATAGTGAATGTGTAGTAATTAAATAATAGATCATTGCTCAGCTGTTAAGGACAGTGAAATTAATAGGAGAATAGGTGGAGGTGGAAGCAATCATCCCAAGTGAAGTAACCAAGACCCAGAAAGACAAACATCACATGCTTTCTCTCACGGGTGTATATTACCTCTTACACTTTAGATACACATGTTTTAGGGTTACTATTGCTGTAATGAAACACCATGACAAAAGCAACTTGGGTAGGTAAGAGTTTACTTGACTTCCAATTCCACATCCCTCTTCAACATTGAAGGAAGTTAAGACAGGAACTCAAACAGGGCAGGTACCTGGGGGTAGGAGCTGATGCAGAGGCTTTGGAGGGGTGTTGCCTATTGGACTGCTCAGTCTGCTTTCTTATAGAACTCTGGACCAACAGTCCAGGGATGATCCCACCCACAATGGGCTGGGCTCTCTCACATCAATCATTAATTTAAAGAAATGCTTTATAGTCTCACGTAATGCTGAGTATTATGGAGGCATTTCTTCAGTTGGTGTTGCCTCCTCTCAGGTGACTTTAGCTCAGATCAAGTTGACATAAAACTGGCCAGCACAATTGACTCCTTGTCAACTTGACACAGTACTTTTAAAAGACATAACCTTTCCTTTGTTGGTCTATCCCCCAAATCTCAGATTAATAAATACCACAAATGTAAAACATGTTACAAATGTAAAATCCTACAGTCTTTATCACCTCAAAATGTCAAAAGGTAGGATGAGGATAATAATGGACTGAACCCCAGAACCTGGAACCCCAACTAAATGTTGTCCTTTGTAAGAAAAAAAAACCCCAAAACAACAAAACAAAACCAAAAAAGTCAAAAGTTTAGTCTCTGTAAAAAATCCAAAATCACTTACTATCCAAAACAACTTTTAAAAATTCAGTCTCAACAAGGCCTCTGGAATCAACTAAGCAAGGCACATATGGGCTCAGAGAGGACTGAAGCAGGAAGCACAGGGCCTGTTTGGGTCTATACCAGATCTTCTAGGTGTATCATAGCTACCAACTTAGGATTTTTGTGGAATTCATGACAATGAGAATGAGGGGGTCTCTAACTCCTCTGCCTGCCTGAGACTCTATTTACCTCCTATTGGGCTGCCATGTCCAACTTTGACATGAAATGTTTTGTTTCATCTTATATTTTTTCCATGTTTGGTTGTTATCTCCTAGAAGGCTGTTATGTTCTAATGAGAGAAGAAATAGAGTGAATCCAGAGTAGAGGGGAGGTGGGAGGGGTAGAGGGAGGGAATTATAATCAGGATGTATTGTGAGAGAAAAGAATCTATTTTCAATAAAAGAAAAAAATCCATTCTACGCACACACACACACACACACACACACACACACACACACACACAC